TACTTTGTCACCCTAAATGCAATAAGCCTAATATTGCTTTTATATAAGGTCTATTGGTAGTCTCTAAAGCATACTGACAAACAGAAAGTAGTTTATTTTGCCCGAGACTTACAGTTGTTTATATTATGATACAATAGGTTTTCGAGATTATCATTAGTTGCTTTATGAGAGTTCTAGTCCTTCCAGGTCGCATAAGGTGACGAATAACAGATACTTGCATTTTAAGTAGATATGAACAACTTCACGTTACGATTAAATTTCACATTGTCTTGAATCCTGAAATTATTCTCATATAGGTTGGGCAGCAGAATTGACCTTCCCTAGTTCTCATCCCTTAGCTGAAATTGAACCCGAGTAGTATAGTTTATAATCTTGACATGTTACCATTACCCTATTTACTTGTGTCTATGGGTAAGTGAGGGGCTCTCCTGATCATGGTTCCCCTGGATCATATTCAGTTAATAGCTATGCTAATGAGGTATAAGGAAAGGATAGACCAAGAGGGGGCAACTGCTGCTTCAGTGGGATAACTACTACTTTGGAGCAGACATGAAAGCGGATAAAATTCTAGAAGTGGGTTGACTTCGTTTTCGTAATCTGGTATTGTTGTCAGGGTGACTTAGTAGAACGCATCTTGCGAAAATGAGGTCAATCTACTTCTATAAATCGAACAGAGACTGAGATTATACCGGGGGCTACACCGCCTTGGTCTTCATATCTTCGGATAAAATTCTGTTCAATTTTTGACCCTTTGGATTCTTAATGGAGCTGAAAAGAGGGCTTAATGATAATAAAATAAAAAGTTATATCTTTTTCATACAGACATTATTGGCCTTTATTTTATTGTGGATATGATGATCAAGATGATGTTGCCTTTTGTTTGGTAGCAATCTCCTTTAGTTGTATAGTTCTTGTTTGACCTCGTTTTCGCAACTTGGTTTGAGAGGTGGAGACCTTTTGAAATCTACCTAGTCCTGCGTCCTCTTTACTAGTACTCTACATGAGTTACAACGTCGGACCATGGACTTGATACATCCTTGACACTTCGACGGCATCATCAGTGAGAGGCGTAATCCTTAACCCAGAGTTACGACTAGTCAAAGTGACAAGTGAGAGCAATCCCTCTGAAAAATTTTCTGTTCATCCGTTTTGGCATTCCTTCTCGCTCTAATTTTTTTTCTTGCTTCTCTTTCTCTCAACCCTACTTCATATGATCATTTTACCTATTAACATCCTCGTTTCCTTCAACGCCGTCTAAGAGCTTGTTGCTTCAAATGGAAACGGCGTCTGAAACCGATGGTGAAGGTGAGCAATATTGGAGGAAACTAGAATACGGAATGCAAATAGATAATATGAAGTAGGTTTGAGAGTAAGATGTACGGCACTGGAAGCTAGGACAAAAAAGCAGGGGCTTGAAGGGATGCCAGAACGGTTGAACATAAAATTGCTTTCATTTATCACTTTAATAGGCTGTAACTTTATACTAAAGATGGTGCCTCTTACTGACGATGCCGGCGAAAGATCTGGGTATGTACCACGTCAACGGTCCGATGCTGGAAATCATGAATATTATGCCAAAGGACAAAGGGGTAGGTGCGTTCCACAAGCTCTCCTTGTTGCTCCTACTAAGTTGCCAAAACGAAGTCAGCAAATGATTCATTGCACCATTATTATGAGGGCGGGAGAATGGCAGCAATACGCAACTCGCCACCAATCTGACTGAGAGTAGTCAACGAAAGGGATTAAACTTATTGTCATATTCATACCCAATCCAATGACTACATGGGGCGCAATAGTATAAAGGAGACTGCGACCAAACACAAGGCCATACAATCTTAATCTTAATATCTATGATGTAATAATATAATGTCTACCGCTAGTAATGCAAATTTTTTGCCATAATTTTAAAAGACTGGGAATTGTGGATTGCTCAAAGGAGCTGATTTTTTATTCTTTGCTAATCCATATATTTGAGTCCAGGCTCAATTGATGCTAAATATATAATGAAAAATTATTCATGCTTTCATTTCCTATAATCCATAACATTGAGGCTCAGCCTCTCCAGAGGTTTATTGATCAAGCATAACTAAACTAAGTACTAGGTTTTCGAGATCTTATAATAATAAATCTTATAAATAATCTTTGTTTAATTTCTTACGCTTATTCTCGATATTAAAAATTTTTATAATCTTTCAATTCATATATTTTTTATTATTTTTTATTTTACAACATACAAACAATAATCCACAAACTGAGTCTGAGATCATTATATTTCACTCTTGGAATATGCCCTTCCATTTTTACGTCTAAGTCCTGCAGACTTCAACCATCTTATATGAATAAAAACTGGATTTTCAAAAATTCCTTAATGACTTGTCATGACGTCACTTGTCATTTTCAAGAAAAAGTTGGCTTAAAATTATGTGAGTTGTTTTCACCGAAAACTGAAAGAGGATTGACTTGAATAAGTGAAGATTGTTAAATTGTGCGAAATCCTCAGCTCGCTGTCCCGCGACCCCAATCAATCCCTGTTAAGCTTTCGTCTGTTATGTGACATCATATCTTATGAAAGAAGCACAGAAACTACTATAAGCCAATACAATAAGTGTGGCTCGGCGTAATTACACTCATTTATACCTTCTTTGAGATCCTAACGAGGCATCCCACGATTTGTTTCGTTATTTCACTTTTGGCATTCATTCTTGTAACTGGGGCAGGTTGATGTATGAGTGGATGTAGTAGCAGATGTTTCTTTGCCTAGATAATCAAATGCATGATCCCACATTTTTTTACGTATATATTAGGGCACGGTGTGTGTATGCAATGCACAAGCCATATGAAATGTGAGAGTCATA